TTGAATTTTTTGAGGTCTTTATATATCCTGGAGATTAATGTTCTATCTGAGGTGCATGTTATAAAGATTTTCTCCCATTCTAAGGCTCTCTCTTCACTGTGAAGAAGCTTTTTTTAGTTTGGATCCATCCCATTTATTGATTCTTGATTTCACTCCTTGCACTTCAGGAGACTTGTTAAGGAAGTCAATTCCTAAGTCAACATGGTGAAGACTTGGGCCTACTTTTTCTATTAGGCGCAGGGTCTCTGTTCTAGTGCTTAAGTCTTTGGTCCACTTTAAGTTGAGTTTTGTGCAGGGTGAGAGATAGGAGTTTAGTTTCATTTTGTTACATATGGATTCCCAGTTTTCCCAGCACCATTTGGTAAAGAGGCTGTCTTTTCTCCAAGAAATGTTTTTGGCGCCTTTGTCTAGTATGAGATAACTGTATATATGTGGGTTTGTCTCTGTGCCTTCTATTCTGTACCACTGGTCTACATGTCTGTTTTGGTGCCAATACCATGCCAGTTTTTGTTACTATGGCTCTGCAGTATAGTTTAAGGCTTGGTACTGTGATGCCTCCTGCTTCACTTTTCTTGCTAAGGACTGCCCATGTTTAAAATGAGTGATGGTACTGAGGAGGACTATACAGAGATAAGGAAATGTGGACTTTTGAACACTGTTAAAATTAAAGGAAGCTTTTATAATATTTCTGTAAGGCAATTTGGTGTTGTGTTAATGATAAATAGATATATAGATAATAAAAACTGAAATTGCAAAAAAAATTCAACAAGTCGTAATAAGAAAATAAACCAGTTAAGCACAAGGGCAGAGGCCTGCAATCTCCCAAGTTCAAGGCCAGCCTTGGTAACTTCGCAAGCCCTGTCTCAAAAAATAAAAAGAACTGGGGATGTGGCTTACTAGTAGAGTGCATGCTTAGCATGTTTAGGGCCCTGGGTTCAATCCCAAGTACATGCATGTGTGTGCATGCGCACGCACACGCACACACACACACACACACACACACACACACACGAGAAAAAAATAGAAGAACACAATCATAGTGAATAATGGTAGAAGATGTGAATAGACACAATGCCAAAGAAGATACATGAAAGTACACAAGCACATATAAAGATCTAATTGGAAAAATTAATAAGATGAGATAATACTACATGCCATTATAAGACTAAAATACTCTCTTGATTGGCAGTATTAAGCAAGGCAACTGAAATTCTTATGTGTTCCTGGTAATAATCCAAAATGTTACAGCCCTTTGCCAAACAATTTGCTGATGCTTAGGTGGCTCAGCCTTTTCATTAGGAGATGGAAGCCTGCATGCAGATGTTTATGGCAATTGTTCACAATTGCCCTGAACTGTAAACAGCTCATGTGTCCATCAACTGGAGATGAGTGGACAAACCAACACATTGTCGCACTGAAATAATATTTGGCAATGAAGGAAAAAAACAGCAGTGCCAGCATTATCAGGAGTCTCAAACACCCTGCAGAGTGAGATGTGCGATGCTCACCTGATGTTCTGAAGGATGCAGAACTGCGAGACACAAACACGTCAGCAACCACAGGGCTGGGAGCAGGGATGAGGACTGACTGGCCAGGGGCTCAGAGGGCTGGGGGCATGTGGCTGTTGTGCATCTTGATTAGGGTGGTGGGTGCGTTCATCAAGATATAGAATGGCAGAACTACAAAGGATGAATTGTAGTGATGTGAATTAGGCCCTAATAAAACTGGTGTTAAAGAAAACAAAACCAGGTTATTTATCTTGCTGGCTTCCCATCTGCTCCCTCCTCTGCCCCACCATATTCCCTTTCTGGCACAAAGGCCTTGGTACTTGCGGCCCTTTTCTGCCTGCAAGCTCTCACAGGTATGACGCCTTCCTCCTGGGAACTTCTTGACCATCCTGTCCAAAATTTAGCCCTCTGCGGACTTCTTTTCTCTCCCCACTTTGCTCTTCCCGTCCTTGGCACTTCTCACTGTTCAATGTACTGGATTTCTTTACTTTCTGCTACTCTGCAGAACAGAGTACAAACTCATAAAGGAAGTTTTTAGATTTTTTTTTTTTCTGATTTTCTGACCTGACACCTAAAACAGTACCTGACATCTAATGGGTGCTTAGTATTGTTGAATGAGTGGATGAGTGATTGAACTGCTACTGTGTCACTTCTAAATTCCCATTGCTACCCTCCCACACACAGGAAGCATACATGCACACACAAGCAGCACACACAGGCAGCACACATGCACACAGGCAACACAAAGAGGCAGCGCACATGCACACACAGGCAGCACACGTGCACACACAAGCAGCACACACAGGGAGCACAAAGAGGCAGCACACATGCACACACAAGCACACACAGGCAGCACACATGCACACAGGCAGCACACACAGGAAGCACACATGCACAAACAAGCAGCACACACAGGCAGCACAAAGGCAGCGCACATGCACACACAAGCAGCACACACAGGGAGCACAAAGAGGCAGCACACATGCACACAAGCAACACACACAGGCAGCACACGTGCACACAGGCAGCACACACAGGCAGCACACATGCACAAACAAGCAGCACACACAGGCAGCACAAAGAGGCAGCGCACATGCACACAGCAGCACACACAGGCAGCACACATGCACTCAGGCAGCACAAAGAGGCAGCGCACATGCACACAGCAGCACACACAGGTAGCACAATGCACACAGGCAGCACAAAGAGGCAGCGCACATGCACACAGGCAGCACAAAGAGGCAGCACAAAGAGGCAGCACACATGCACATACAAGCAGCACACACAGGCACTGGCTTCCCAGTGCACATGCACACAGCAGCACACACAGGCAGCACACATGCACACAGGCAGCACAAAGAGGCAGCTCACATGCACACAGCAGCACACACAGGCAGCACATATGCACACAGGCAGCACAAAGAGGCAGCGCACATGCACACAGGCAGCACAAAGAGGCAGCACACATGCACACAGCAGCACACACAGGCAGCACACATGCTCACAGGCAGCACAAAGAGGCAGCGCACATGCACACAGCAGCACACACAGGCAGCGCACATGCACACAGGCAGCACAAAGAGGCAGCACACATGCACATAGGCAGCACAAAGAGGCAGCACACATGCACACGGGCAGCACACATGCACACAGCAGCACACACAGGCAGCACACATGCGCATAGGCAGCACACACAGGCAGCACACATGCACACAGCAGCACACACAGGCAGCACTCATGCACACAGGCAGAACAAAGAGGCAGCGCACATGCACACAAGCAGCACACACAGGCAGCACAAAGAGGCAGTGCACATGCACACAAGCAGCACACACAGGCAGCACACATGCACACACAAGTAGCACACTACACACAGGTAGCACACACGCACACAGGCAGCACAAA